GCCCAAAACTGAACACAGCACTCCAGATGTGGCCTCACTAGGGCTGAGTGGAATGACAGGATCACCTCCCTCAGCCTGCTGGCCGCGCTCCTCCTTTGTATCATTACTACCTGGTAACACACACGTGTTACCTACCTGGTAACACGCACTTCCCAGAGCAGTCAATTATCCTTTCAAATGTTGCTTGTGAAAACTGATTGCGAATAACATCTGCCTGGCCCACAGCTTTGATACAGCCATCCCTGCAAAACACAGAAGTGAAAAAAGAACATGTGCGAGCCTGTTCAAAAGTCAAGTGATCCTGCACCAAAAAGGTCAGGATCTTCAGCAGGACTGAAGATGCCCACGTGGAGGTGGTTTGCTCATTTTATAGATGCACAGAAAACACTGGGGTAATGCCCTGCATTTCAAGCTGTTTTGCTGTAACGCCTGTCATGTCCTCTGCTTAGATCCCTCTGGCCGCCTGTTTTCCTCCTGTGGATCAGAGAGCATACGACATTGCTCCAGCAGATATCGATCTGCAGGGCACTCTGTCCCTCAAGGGAATCAAACTGTCATTGCCTGCCCCTGGATCATGCCCCGTGCCCTGGGAAGCCACAGGGATCGACCTCTTTGGGGCTGATCTTTGGTTCAACAGCAATGTTCTCCCCGTGGAGTTTGCGGGTGGTACAGGGAACCCCGGACTGCGCTTGGGGGATCCCTTCCTGCCTTGCACGGAGCTCCTCCGCACCGACCGCAGGGTCTGCGGCACCAGGCGGGCCGAAGCCGGGTCCCCTCCCGCCCCGCCCGGCCCCGCACTCACAGCCCCACGACCAGGCTGGCGCCCTGCAGCACGGCCAGGCTGGCAGCGCCGTCCCGCCGCAGGTACAGCTCCCGCCGGCCGCACACCAGCACCAGCTGCTGCGCGTTCTCCAGCAGCAGCCGGTACCGCTGCCGGCCCGCCATGGTCGCGGACACCGAGTGTCGGGGCCGCCCGGCTCAAAGTCCCCCGGGGCGGYGCGGCCGAGCGCCCCTCCTGCCCCCCGCCCTGCCCCGCCTCGCCCGACCCCGGCCGCGCACCGGCCTTGGCCCTGCCCGGCTCGTTCCGTCCTGTGCTGCAGCCCACTCCGGGCGAGGGATGCTGTGCTCGATTCCGTCCAGGTTAACGGGACGGCATCCGTACATCGTGCTGGGTCATGAACAGCTTCGAAGCACCGTTTTCCCGCAGGGCTTCCCGGAGCTCTCGGTCCTCACAACACCACCTGGAGATTTCCCTTTGCCAGGACAATAAGAGCCTCTAATTGGAGAGCATTTGTTCGCCCACGTGCGCCCTCCTCGGTGTCCATCGCCTCTCCAGCATCCATCACTTTGCCATCACTCACGACCTTAGGCCGCATCCCAGCAACCCGAGGGATCATAAGGGCTCCCACCGCGCCAGATGTTCAAGCAGACATTCATTTATCCAGGCAGACACTAATTTATCCAATAACGGGAGGCTTGTGCGATTCTGCTGCCCCCTACAGAATGAGGGATGGGAGAATCAGGGAGCCAATATTTACTCCCAATATGGACTTCTTGTGCTTCTCTTCACRTATTCATAGCGGCTGTAGGACTCCTGTAATTCCCGACTGGAAAATGGAGTGTGTCTTTCTAAACAAGCGGTTCCCTCTAACACTTTTCCGGGGGTGGCAATCTTCTTTAGACCCCTTTTCTTTTAGAAAGAGAATCGATTTTTAATGGTAGTAATACATCTGTGTGCACACACATATTCCTGTACGGCAGAAATAGTTTGATATTTTGGCTCTTTAAATGAGCCTTTCTGGTAAAGTCGTTTGCAAATGAGGCAAGATTTGCATCTAAAGCCCAGTATTTTGTATTTAACATCAAACCTTAAAAGTCAGTAAAACTACAATAGTGTTGGGTGTTATCTCGTGATGCTGCTCCACTGTCAATATTGCACCATAACCTGTCTTATTCCATGCAGTCAGGTTTATAACATGCTATGCCTGATCTATTTATAACAATACTGCCCAGAAWGGTAAGTGCAGGAATGGTTTCTAGGTTGCATCCTCAGGAAATTCTAGAGCTTCATTCAAAAAGTAGATTCTAAATACTGGATTATAATTTTTAAATGTTGGCAGAATTCACTGAATGTAAACAGAGGACTGTAAGGCACTAGAGGAACCCTACTTAAATTTCTTTAGCTTAGAGCTTTAAAACAACCTTAATATTCCAGTGAAAGTGCTTTTTGAAAAGAACTTTAAAATGTGGTATTTTCAATAAAAATGAAAAAAATTTTCAGTAAAGATAAAAATGTTGAGTATCAGTTTATTGATTTAAAAGATCTCATCTCTTCTGGCTGGTGCTTTATGTGAGAATATGATTGATTCCTCAGGGACTCCTTTTCAAATACACTGCCATAGGCATTAGCATGCCTATTAGTGTAAACAACATGTAATTAAACACAAAAGGCCCAAAGTTAAGAGATGAGTCTCAGATCAAATACTGGCTAAGTTTTCCTTAAATTCGTATGTTAGTTTTTTCCACCTTCTAAATAGTCCTTTCTAATAATACACATAGCATGGTGCTATGTCCTGAAAGGAGACACAGTGCATGCCTTGACACAAGTTAATTACTAGCAAAATTTACCGAATGCTACTTCCCTGTTTACAAAAGCAGCAGAGGTCACTAAACCCTCAGGATCAAGCACAAGAATTGCATCACATGGATGAAACTGACTTGCAAATGTGGAATAGATCCAAACTAAATTGCAACATTTGTTATGTACCTTCGGCTTCCCTCCTATCAGACTGGTCTTAACATCACGTTTATAAATAAGTTTTGCAAAAGTGAAAGTGAATTCTGCAYTTTTTTTTTGTATGTAGAACCTCGCATCTCTCAAACAAACCTTCAAAACAGTGCATTTGCTCAGATGACCTTTCTGGATCCTGTTCCCAGATCTGTTTTTGGCAAATTCCACAGTGGCCTGGGGACRGGGAGACCTTTTTGGGGAACACCACAATTCGGTTCTCCCTGAGCACAGTGCAACCTTGCCATCCTATGGTTTCTTTTTCACCAAAAAGGCCACTAAGGAAAAGAGAGAGTTTGTGTGCACCTGTGCTCTGTCAGGAGTGGGATGTGGGCACCTCCAGATGTAAAAACTGGTACAATTCCAGCACCTGGGCTTAGAGCCAAAGCTTGTCATTCTTTGCAGTCCATGAGCTGCACAATACAGAACTGGAGTTTGCAGTGTTTTGTCTCTCAGCGACAATAAGGATTTAGTGTCTTCTCAGGTAGGTTATGTACTCTTTTTTACATATTCTAGGAACAGGAAAGTTTCCAAGTAAAAAATAAACAGCAAGCAACCTATACTCAAATGAGTAACACATCAAAGTAAGTTCAAAACTACATGTGGTATGTGTCATGCCTTACCCTTTCTAGGCTTTCTGACTACCATTTTACCTTATTAAGTAAGTTTTTTTGCAAGGCAAAATCTATTCCTAATGGAGTGCCCTGCTACTTTGTCTCCAATTTCTTTTATCCCATGAACAATTTGAACAACTTAATCATATGAAAGTATTCTTTTTAGTTACTTCATATACCTTAAATTTAACATGTAAAATCATAAGCACAAAATGCTCCTTTACTTCTTTCRTGGTGACAGATTTAAGAGAGGTTTCTACTCATTTTAAACTGCTACAGGACCTTCCTTGTGTGAAGATTTTTCCTAGCAAAAAAATTATTAGCATTTCACCAACAACCACCAGTGTTCTACACTGACAAATTCTCACTCTGCAGGAAGGGAATCAGAGGAAGTGCTATAAACTATAGAACCTCAGGTCTCTGTGAAAGGAAGAACCTTTTTTTTTTCTAGCCTCATGAAAGGAATTTAGTGTTATGGTTGGACAGCATAACTTCAGACATCCTTCCAGATACGCCCACAGGTATGTCAGGTATGTTTAGCTGAGGAACAGTCACATCCCCTACGCACACAGAAGTGTGCAATTCTTCTTCCCAGTTACTCTGAGAAGCTGAAGCTTGGCAAGTTTTCATAGTGATAGCAATACCTGCTGATCCAGTGCTCAGAAAAATACCTGAACAACTCACCTCTGGCCCCACTTCCTCCTCATGTGGAAGAGATCTTTCAGGTCAGTGCCAGCCCATTCAGACAAGGAATTAATTTAGATACTGAGGCAACAGCCACAGTCTTTCCTCCTCCAATACAGACACCACCATGGGAAGGGTGGTGCTATTCTGCATCATGAAGTCATTAACAAGATGCACTGCATTGCAGATCAGATGAGATGCTTTTTTGCCTCTCATTCCTGCCACCAGAAGTGCTCTAAAAACACATCTGGTTGTTCTGAGGTTTCCTAAGCTCATTGCCAATTTTAAARTACTCATTTATCCTTGTGATAGTACTGATTTTAGCTTAAATAGCTCTTTTCCCTTTCCCAGTGGAACTGCAAGGTACTTCAGCAGAGTCAAGAAGCCTCCGAGCTGCCAAAAAGAAGGGTCTGGTTTAAGCAATTAAACACTTTGCAAGTACATCCAATATGATTTTTTCACTCTTTACAGAAACTTACATTTGGAAATATTTAAGGGACATGTGGATAGCTACAGGAATGACTTCCAACACAAGAAACAGAGAAGTATTTCTCCAAGACCCAGCCTGACAGGCTGGGATCCTTCCCCCACTTCACATGACCAGCRTTATGTCCTAATGCAGCCCAAAGCACCCAGCACCGTTCAGTGCAGCCGTCTCTGAAAGGATGTGTGATCCCAGCCAACAGGCCTGGACTTCTACACTCCACACATACCTACTCCAGATAGGAAGGTAACTGGTATTTTTGTAAATACTCACTTTTCATTTTCATATTTTCAGCTTTAAATTGAAAAATTACCCGTTGCTCCTCCAGCATTGTTTTCAGACACCAAAAAAAGAATAAAGAAGTTTTAAAGGGTTAACTTTCCCCATCCTAAAACACAATAGAACAAAACCCAACACGTTACTACATAAGTATGAAAAACAAAAAAAAAGAAAAGTTTATTTCCAGAAATAAAAAACACCTATTCTCTCATTTCTCCATCTTCTTCCTCTTCTTCCACACCTCTGATGTACAAAACATTATTGCACCTGTAAACAGAAGCAAGAGGTCCCTTAGCTATAAATTTTATAATTTTCCTCACATAAAACATGCTTTAAGCATTTTTCTGCTTGACTGTAGCGTGGCAACAGCCAAATTCCATAAAACATAATGTTGCTGTTGACCTTATACACCTTTTCCAAGCAGTACATTAAATTGCGCACCTTCATAAATGTAATAACTGATTGACAATGCTGTACAAAAAARTGTTTTGGGTGAACAGTTATGGTCCAAGCATGCAAAAGGTTTTCAGTTGCAATGCACTAGTATACAATACCAAAGGATTCACAGATAAACAATAATGTGTAAATCTGAAGCATTTAGTTACCAAAAAAGAGATAGTAAATTCTTCTTCAAATATATTCAAAGATTCATTTTTCTTCTCCTCAGAAGGGACTTCAGTATAAGAAACGCATTCACAGCTCTCGCATAAACTTGGCATCTTAGTTAGACAAGAAACACAACTCCCACTGGTGTAAGCTTTAATGTAAGTGGTGAGAAGATTTAGAAGAGCCTTCCTCCACCATAAGTAAATACCGTAATTACCTTATCAAAACTTCACCCAGGTGTCCAGACAATGCACCATCTATATACTCCTCTGTGTTTGCAAGCTTGAAAGGAAAATGGGAAAAAAATCAGAACAGCAATAGAAGCAGCTTCACAAAGCACGTGACGGTTCTGCCCCCAGCCCTGGGCCCAGAGCTCCGCTACAGCGACCAGGAGCGGCCCCGAATTCCCACAGAGGCACCGCCGATCATCCCAGCTCATAGCAATCYGGGCGGGAAGGGCCCTTAAGCATCCTCTCTTTCCAGCTGCTTGCCATGGGCAGAGACACCTCCCACTAGACCARGCTGCTCAGAGCCCCATCAAACCTGGCCTATGACGCATCCATAGCTTCTCCATCCACAGCGCCGAGGGCCGGCGCCGCTCCCGCCTCAGGCACCTCACCGGGGACCCCCCCGGCCCTCACCTGCATGTTCATGTAGCCGTCCACGGAGACGAGGTAGCCCTTGTACTCCATCCCCCACTTCAGCTTCACCATCACCGGTTTCCCCGTCAGCCCGTTCAGGAACGGCTTGGGGTTGAGGGGCAGGCTCTGGCGAGGGAAGCACACGGTCAGCACCGCCCGGTTCCCGCTCCGCCTTCGCCCGGCCCCCTGGAGCCGGTAACGGCGCGGCTCCCGCCCCTCTCAGTGCCCCGCTCCCGCCGCCCTCCCGCGCGCTCCCGCCTCCGCTCACCATGGCGGGAGAAGCGCAGGCCCACACGGGAACCCCTCGTGCGCGCCGCGGGAGAACGGCAGCCAAAGGAAAACAGCTCCGCTCCGGCTTCCCGTTCCGGGGGCRCCGCTCTCCCACCTCCGACCTCTCACCCGCACCGCGCTCCCCATAGGCTGGCGCGCCCTGACGCGCCAGGGCCGGGCGCCGCTGCCCATTGGCTCGCCGCTGCCGCGGGCCCCTCTCATTGGCCGGATCGGCCGGCCCCCGGACCGTCCCAGCCAATCGCTAGTGCTGCGTGGCGCGCCGTGGTCGCGCGGCGGGGGTCAGTCCGGGAGAGTGAGCGTGTACCCCCTGCGCGCGTGCCCGTGCCCGCGAAGTGTGCGCGTGCCCTGTGCGAGGGCTCGTGCGCGTGCCCTGTGCGCGTGCCCTATGCGCGGGCTCGTGCCCGGGCTGTGTGCGCGTGCCCTGTGCGCGGGCTCGTGCCCGGGCTGTGTGCGCGTGCCTTGTGCGCGGGCTGTGTGCGCGTGCCCTGTGCGCGGGCCCGTGTCCCTGCGCGTCCCCTGCCCGTGTGGCGAGCAGCGGGGCAGCGCGGCGAGGCCCTCGGGCTGTGCCCGCCCCACACTCCGCGCTCAGCTCTTTGCGGCTCTGCACGTCCCGGTCCCCACCAGGTGGCAGCGCCTGACCGGTGCGGTGGCCGTGGCACCGGGCGGGAGCGCTCTGACAGACTCTCCTGGTGGTGCCTGCACGCCCTGCGGGCGGTGTAAGCCTGGCGGCCTCCATCCGTCTGTAAGAATAAATCCGAGGACCAGCACATTTTCGTGACTCCACACACAAGGGATAGAAATTCTCAGAGTTTATAAGAAATTTAAGTGCTAATTTTCTGTCAGTATCATTTGACTCCCAGGCAAAGAGGCTGCCAGAACTTTTCTTGGCTCTAKAGTGTCGTGAAACACCTGCCCAAATGTAACTCTTAACCTTTGACAGGCAAATAGGTTGAACCAACACCTGTACCGTTTACCAATTTGTCACATCCTCACTGATGTCTTCGACCATTCTATGTATAAATTCATCAAATGCCACAATGTCTGTTTCTGTTGCTACATACAGCATATTCCCTTGATCTTCGGTGTGGGATGCTGAATGTGGAAAACACAAATTCAGGAAACTTAACCTTTCAGTAACATAACTATTATGGCTATTGCGCACTTCACCTTCCAAAGGTCAGTCTAGTGCCCTAGTGTTGAAAGCAAAACCAYTGTCACCTCCTCAAATCTGCGTGTTTAAAGCTATTGACAACAGAAACAATCTTCTCCAGATCCAGACTGTCCTTACAACAATGGCACTGTGAATATGTAGGAGTGAAACAGATGGAATTGTAATTCCTGTTAGCTACTGTATGTCAAAAGTGCAGTTACAGAGTCRGAGACTTGTTGGGGTTGGAAAGGACCTCTGACGATCCTCCAGTCAACCCTCCTGCCAAGGCAAGGTCACTTGAAGCAGGTGACACAGGAGCACATCCAAGTGGGTTTGGAATGTCTCCAGAGGGAGMTGCTCCACCACCACTCTGGCCAGCCTGTTCGAGCTCTGCCACCTACAACATAAAGTTCTTCCTCATGTTGAGGTGAAACTTCTTGTGAAGATACTCAGATACACATTTCCATGACTGTAGAAATAAGTGTGATGTTCTTTTAGTGTATAGTGAATGGGCCGCAGAAACAACATCAAAATCATGCTAATTATCTTTCTGGAAGCAGGACTCACTATGGGCCAGCTGAAAGAGTAACTAAATTATAAGACTATTTTGTAGGGAAATCTGTGTTAAGACTGTGTAAGGRAAGTATGAACACAATGGGAAATGGTACATATAGCAATTTTTTTCATGCTATTTGGAGTACAGGATAGGTGATTTCACATAACATGTATAATGTGGCAGAATGCAATGAGCTTAGAGCAAGTGTCTTGAATAAAATCAGAGTGTGAGAGTAATTTTTGCACTGTTCTGACAAGGATGATCATATATATCTGTGAATGGCCATATAACAGGTTTGGTATGTTGTCTGTAAATACCACTATTTACTTTTATATGTGAAACCAATTTTGACCACAATGTCTTCTGCTCATGTTGGGAAAACTTTTTGTGTACCAAGAAATACAGGAGCATTTACATGCGGCATTTAATACACTCTGTTCCTCAGGTGAGTAAATGCCCTGTTGTTATAAAAACAATAATTTCCCAGGGTCATCAATCTCAGTGTAGAAGTCTGAGAGTAAGAGTTCTTGACTTCTGGTTTCATAATCGGTGCATGAATTCATGCATCAGTAATCTCATCAGCTGCAGCAATTTTTTGTGGTGGTAAGGTAGGAAGGAGTACAGAATGCGTGATTACATCTGRTGCAGTTAACTGAATAACTCGGTTAATCAGGAAATGAAATAGCTGTTGTTTTTCTTTCCCCCTTGTGAGGAATTTGCTGTTTACCTTGTTGACTGAATCATTCCGATTTAGAGACAGCCTTCTTAGGCTGATCTTTGGGCTTTCAGCCCAGGGGTGAAGCTCACCTTTTGTCCTCTTTGTRTTTCCCATGTAATAGGGGAAGTAATCATTCGAATTCTTTTCTGCCTTTGGGTCAGGATATTTAGGMTGTTGCTCAACAGGAAATGATCAGGAAAGACTTGTTGTAATAGATTAATCCAAACCTTAGCTCCTGGGTGGATGGATAGGATTTTCTCTTACAGATCAGGGGTGGGAATTTAACTCAAAAGCCTACAGTCTGTTCCTAAGGAAACACATTAGGCAGCTGGACATTCAAGGGCGGCAGCGTTTTTGGTGGAGGGACTGGTAAGATGGTGTTATCTGTGTAAGTGCAGATGCTTACTGACATCACCAATGCACTGTGTTGCCATAAAACCAATGCTGAGAGAAAGCTCAGCTGCTCAGAACTCCTTCCTGATTCAACCAAGTTTGCTGAGAGAGGAACTCGCTGCAATAACCTGTTTCTGCCTGCCATAAACACATCTTGACATGAAATCTATTTTTCCTAAAGAAATAGGCATAATGGAAGATTTGTCATTAGAAATTATACCGGAATGAAAAATTTGATCTTGCCYACAATTTGTCTGTAGGAAATGTATAAAAATCTTTTTCAAAAAGTAACACAAAATTTTTTGTATATGCAAAAAATCTGTATCATTTATCAGCTCTTGTGACTTGGGAACTGCTTTAGTGGTATTGTGTGCACTGACAACAGCCCCCACATGGAGTAAAGTCCTGACTTTTTGGGGCTTTGCCAGAGTAAAACAGTTTTGCTTCAAACATTTTTTTCAGATATCTCTATCAGTAAAACAGCAAAAGATTGTCATTTCCATAGCACCATCTTTGATCAAATCTCCATRTGAGGCAATAACCATCTACCACAGACCTTCACCGTGTATTGTAACTGGGGACAAGTTGGTAGCGACATCAGACTTCAGAAGAACTGGGAGCTCTAATTTCTCTCAGAGATTCTCATCAACCTGAGCAAAGCCACACTGTGCCACAGGGGTGGATACACAGGATCCAAAGGGTGGATACACAGGATCCAAATACTAGGAAGCACAAAACTGGTTAGCCTGTTTCAGGTTTGATCCAGCATTTTTCCACATGCTGATAGACTTTCACCTCAGTGTAAGACTGTGGTCCGGAACAGATGCTCAGTCTTGCTGARTAACACTTGGAAACAGCTGAAGGGAAGGACACAGGAACCACAAAATCCATGAGATTTGCCATTGGCCCTGCATGCTGGGCAGTGGCAGGCAAGAGTAATGTGAGTAAACACAAACAAAATGCAAAAGTCTGTTTGGGATGGACTTGCCCACTAAGCAGGAGACCATGCTGTGAATGACTCCCAGGGSAGAAGAAAGATAGAAATGAAGGGTTTCTGCTTGGGTAGAGCATTTATGTGCAGTTTCAGATCAGCACCATGTCTTTTTTTCTGCCATCATTGTCATCAGTGTCATCAGTATGAAGTGAGACTGGGAATGGAGGTGGGGGCAGATATATGCTAACAAAAGCCCAGATCTTTTGTCCACACCATCAAAGATCTGCCAGAGTGGCTCTTCTGTGAACCTGTCACAAGGCTGGGCTGTGCCAACAAGAAGGGGCATGGGATGGGTATTGCACAGAAATTATGGGAACATTAGAGCCTCCTTTTATCCATATTGAAAACATTTATTTATTTGTGCAAATAGTGTTCATGCAAATTATGCAGCTACACTAGAGGCTCTTTAAGCATGTGTCTCTGCAACACAGGCTTCTTTGCCAAGAAATAATGGGACTTCCTTAATTATCAGCTGTTATCTTCTGAGTTTGGCAAACCTTTGTTGCTTTATGTGCGGTTGCTTCTTTTATGCTCTGACATTAATGAATTGGAATTGAAATTATGTACTGAGGAAAACAAAGTGATCTGCACAAATAATAAAATGCTGTACTTGGTGCATCAAAAAGAAAATCAAGTATTGTGCAGAAGGAATTTTGAAACAGTGCTTTCAAATAAACATCTTAATACATACTTATAACTGGCTCCAAATGGCTGAAGTGGCTGAAGAGTTGGTGTTTTGAGAAATCTGTCTGATCAGAGCTCAGAAAGTCTGACTGGTGTTGGAGGCTCTCTGTTACATGGCAAGCTCTGGTGTAACAGACGAGCTCATCTGCTGCCATTTTGAACAAGTAGATCTTGTGATGGGGAAGAGAGAAAGGAATTATTAGGCAACAGGTCAGCAGAGTGTTGCTGGTCAAGAGAGACAAGATATTGTACAGATTCCCTYACCATTTCAGAGCAAGAGAAGACAGAAACTTGCTGGAGAGGAGAAAATCAAAGATATAAATGACATTGGGTTAAAAGAAGGAGCTAAAACTAAGATTCCTGCATTTCTTAGAAAACTCTATCTGAACCCAAGCAATACTCTGGAGACATGAGGCAGAGAAATAGGAAATCTGAGTCATCAAGGCTGACTGGCAGCTGCAGGGACAAATATGTCCTGAACTCCCTCCATTACACAGTGAGGCTTTAATGTACTGTGGTTTTATTAATTTGGCCAGATACATCTACTCTTCTGATAGCCAAAGGGAAGAGTGATTTGAGGTTGGAGTGTCTGCGAAGTCTCCTAGGTTGTTTGCATCCCTCCCAGGGA